AATGCAATGGAAAAACGGGGTTTTGTCTTCCACTTATCGTCCAGAAAACATCAATAAAAAACGGGTTTTTCCCGACTCTGGCACTCTGCATAATCAGATTAGAATCAGAATATTTTTAAAATATGCGTGTTTAGTGCCTTTACAATATGTCGATGAAAACGTTGAAACAAATTTTACTCATCGGCCTGCATGCCGAAAAAATGGGTGATTGAAAATAGCTCGCAAATATTTTCCAGCTCTGGGATAAGCTTCTGAGGACGATTCAAACGAACCCTGTTGTTAACGGTCAGTCTTTTCCTTCGTGTTCTTTCAGAAACACCCTTTGAGTTGATCACTGTCCACTCAAAGCGAAGACATTTTTTTTGGGAAGCGATAAAGGTGTTTTGTTTTAGGGCATGTCGTCCTTCACAATGCCCCGAAAGGACAGTGGGGCTTTTAGCCTAAGAGATAAAATGAACAGTTTGCGAAGGGGCTTGACTCTAGGAAATAGGCCTTTGCCTCCAACCCCTACCGGATCACATCATGGGCCACCCAATTATCCGCGTAAGCAAATCTTCCTTATTTAACCGGAACAACCGCAAATTCATCGAGGGTTTTCCTCCATTTTTAGCCTCACGATCGAATTCTCAAGTCTCCCACGAGGACTTTCGGCAGTTTCAAGTTCCCAGTCCCAGTCCATCTCTTCAGCAGCGCTATCGCCAGCATCAGCTAGCGATGAGAGGCACTACTCCCAACCTACCAAGCACTGTAGCTGAATTCGACCAGGTAACTTACACTTGAGGAGGAAAAATCAACCAGCTCTCACCCATTTTCCGGTTAAACAGCCCTCGGGCAGGGACTCTGGTTATCCAGATTGGGAGCAGGATCAGTGGCCCTACAGAAACAGGGCTGACAGCGTCTCGGGATCAGATGGGGGCTCCAGGTTAACGCGAAAACTGAGCAACACGTCCTGTCCACCTGCAGCTCGAGGCATGCCTCATAGTGCCTCAGTTTTTGATCTGAATAATGCTGCCCCTCATCATCATCCTCATGGATTTGTTCCAATGCAGCAGGTGAGAGAGGTTTCACGCGACAGTTCTATCATGGAATATTATAGAATTCATACAGGGTGTGGTGGAAATCGGTTCATTAACCGAAGAACTGAGCTTTAAGGAGGGTAAAAATTTGCTTGGGAAGGAAATATTAGTTGGTCATTGCACAATTCACCAACAAAATGTAGTCAAAAATTGATCAGATCGACACTTTAACTTTCCATTGCCAAGTCCGCTTCCGTCCTTCGACCGTGCTAATAATTTAATTAATAAAAAGTGAAAAAATTACATAAAACAATCTTTTTTCAACACATAGAAAAATATGGAAAGTGAAGTATATGGCGATGCTATAACAAAACAGAAGACGGTTGGTTGGGTAAAGGTGTGCGAAAGAGAGTGTCATTTTCATTCCTAGCTTCAATTAAACATTATCCGGTGTTAATACCCACATAGCAAAATGATATTCCCAGAATATACCTGGAACATTCATGTGATGTACATGCATATTCCTGGGACATACATGAGTTCCATTATGAACATTCCATGTATGTCCCAGGAATTTGTCAGAGTTAATACACTGAATGTTCATGGTATGTTCTGGGAATGTACATGGTATGTTCAGTGAATGTATATGGTATGTTCAGGGAATACACATACATATATGTAACGAAAGAAAAACGATACTTTATTTCCTCTTATTAGTTTATTCACATATTTAAGTATTTACTGATGTAATTTTTCAACAACAAGAGTTACTTGCAACTAGTCTAAAACTAATTAAATGGATAATAAATAAATTAAAATATAACTTATAACTACGGACTAAAAATCTAAATTAACATTTTCAGCATTTT